ACAATTGGAGTCAATGGTAGAGAAGGATCTGGGTGTTCTGGTAGATCATGAGCTTAATAATGGTATGCAATGCCAAACTGCGGTTTCCAAAGCAAGCAAAAGCCTCTATTGTATTAAGTATATAACCAGAGAGAGATATCCTTTTGCCCCTGTACAAATCATTCGTAAGACCTCTTTTGGAATATGGTGTTCAGTTTTGGGCACCAATTCACAAAAAGGATGTTTGGTAACTGGAGAGTGCAGAGAAGGGCAACCAAACTGATGGGAAGCATGGAGGAGCTTAGCTATGAGGAAAGATTAGAGGAACTGATGATTTTATTCTCCCTTGAGAAGAGATTTGGGGGGATATAATCATGTATAAATACATAAGTGGTCCATATAGTGAACTCTGTGATGACCTCAAGGTGAATAACTCTACACCGGGGACAAAGGGGTACTCTTTACATCTGGAGGAAGAAATTTATTCTACAAAATACTGAAAGGTTTCTTCACAGTGAAAATGTAGAACAGACTCCCTCAAGAGTTGGTTCTGGACAGATCAGTAGATTGCTTTAAAAAAGGGTATAGATTCTTTCCTAAATGTACTTGATGTAACTAGACAGTAACACTTCTAGGTAAAGTTGATCCAGGGAATATCTAATTGCCTCTTGGGGGGGATTTTTTTTTTTTTTTTATTTCCCCTGCAGGAGCAAACTGGATCATGCTTTGCTGGAGGTTTTTTTTCTCCTTCCTCTGGATCAGCTGTGGGTAGAGGATATAATTTTTGTGTTTTTTTCCTTTTTAGGGTTGAACGAGATGGACTTTTTTTTTTTTTTTTGAGCCAGACTAACTATGTAACCTACAGCATTCTATTTCCTAGGAAGGTGAACTTGAATGCTTAGTGTTGTGTGGTGTTTTTGCAAAATGAAGCTGTTTGTAGTCAGTTTAATCTCCCCCGTCAAGCAGTGTTGGCAAACCAACCTAATATGTCCCATTAATAACTAAGCCCCTTCTAGAGAGCTTAGTAATCGTTGATCTGTGCTAGGTTACACAGTGCATTGGGTCCTATGCAATCATCCTGAAACATCAACAGTTTCCTATTAAAAGTTAAGTTTAAGCAGATGTACAGTTGTGTTCAAAATAATAGCAGTGTTGAAAAAAGTGAATAAAGCTCAAAATCCTTCTAATAGCTTTTATGTCCATACGCACAAATGCATTGGGAACACTACACATTCTATTCCAAATCAAAACATGAAGAAAAATAGATCAAACATTTTTTCAATTTGTTTAGAGGAACACAAATTTGAACAGTCTAATATTCACTTTTTTTCAGTTTGTATTCTTCTTTACAAACTCAAACATTCACTATATAAACACTGCTATTTTTTTGAACATTTTGCTTTCCTTTGAATCACTTAATGAATAGTTTGTTGTATAAGCACTGTTTCTGAGAACTGCTGTACATCGGTGTTGCATGGAGTCAACCAACTTCTGGCACCTGTGAACAGGTATTCCAGCCCAGGATGATTGGACTACATTTCACAGTTCTCTATTTCTTGGTTTTGCCTCAGAAACTGCATTTTTGATGTTACCCCACAAGTTTTCTATTGGATTACGATCTGGGGATTGGGCTGGCCACTCCATATTGTCAATCTTGTTGGTCTGGAACCAAGATGTTGCACGTTTACTGGTGTGTTTGGGGTCGTTGTCTTGTTGGAACACCCATTTCAAGGGCATTTCCTCTTCAGCATAAGGCAGCATGACCTCTTCAAGTATTCTGATGTATTCAAACTGATCCATGATCCCTGGTATGCGATAAATAGGCCCAACACCGTAGTATGAGAAACATCCCCATATCATGATGCTTGAGCAACCATGCTTCACTGTCTTCACAGTGTACTGTGGCTTGAATTCAGTGTTTGGAGTCGTCTGACAAACTGCCTCCGGCCACTAGACCCAAAAAGGACAATCTTACTTTCATCAGTCCACAAAATGTTGCACCATTTCTCTTTAGGCCAGTCAATGTGCTCTTTGGCAGGTTGTAACCTCTTCAGCACGTCTTTTTTTCAACAGTGGGACTTTGCGGGGGCTTCTTGCAGATAGCTTGGCTTCACATAGGCATCTAATTGTAACAGTACTCACAGGTAACTTTAGACCTTCTTTGATCTTTCTGGAGCTGATTGTTGGCTGAGTCCTTGCCATTTTGGCTATTCTTCTATCCATTCGAATGGTAGTTTTTCGCTTTCTTCCACATCTTTCAGGTTTTGGTTGCCATTTTAAAAGCGTTTGCGATCATTTTAGCTGAGCAGCCTATCATTTTCTGCACCTCTTTATATGTTTTCCCCTCTCCAATCAATTTCTAATCAAGGTACGCTTTTCTTCTGAACAATGTCTGGAACGACCCATTTTCCTCAGAATTTCAGAGAGAAATGCACTGTAACCAGCATGTACAACATTTGCTGCCTTCCTTCCTTTAAGGGCAATAATTGCCACCTGTTTTTCAAAGAATGAATGACCTCACTAATAGAACTCCACACTACTATTATTTTGAACATGCCCCTTTCAATTAGTGATTCAATTACACAGAATCAGCAGCATGCATGGCATGACTGTTGGATTTCTATTACTCTGCTACACCTGCTAGTAAATTATTTGCCATGTAGAAATATTTCTACCAAAAGCAGTGATTGATCAGGTTAGTGATGTCTGCTATTATTTTGAACATAACTGTACAAAACACAATCATTGATACAACTGAGATTTTTTTTTTCTTTTCTTTTACATGCAAGCTGTGGAAGTACCTTAATTTGTCCCTGTGTCAGCCTCTTGTTGTCTCTGTAGAGCTGGGCTGGAGAAGGAAAAAATGCAAAAAGAACCAATCAGTTTAGGGTGCATTCAAACCTGTGAATGCACCAGCACTCCGATTAGATTTGAGAACCGTAGTAGGGGTTCCTGCAATTAGCTGTGGGCGATAGAACCATTGAAAGCAATGGGTGGTTGCCTGTTCCTAAACCTAATCGCAATCACTCATGCAGCGATTACATGCACGTGATCGTCCCTGCCTGTGTATAGGGCTGATTACTTGATTGTGATCGCTGTATGAGTGGCTACGATTAGATGTGGGAGCCAGCAGCCTCCTATTGCATTCGATGGAGCTGCCTCCTGCAGCTAATCACAGGAATCCCCACTGGGGTTCTCACATCTAATTGGAGTGTGGGTGCATTTGCAGAGGTGAATGTATGCCTATGTATGTACAAGAAGCATGCTATTAGGAAAAAGAAACTCAGTTTGTGGTTTCTCTTTTCCCTGTTCTGGCTGACATGGTCTCGGGAGGAAGTGGGTTAACTGATGCTGCCTATCATATGGAGCACACAGCTGGTTGCAGACATAAAGGACTGTGAGGGAAATATCTGAATTTAACCCCTTGGCGCTGGCACCTTCCAGCCCATTAAGGGGTTGTAGGTAGCGGGAGGGGCTTGTGATCATGTGACCACCGTGATAGGCTGTGACAGTGGTCACATGCTTGGAAAGCTCCTGCTCACAAGTAGAGATCAGGGGCTTTCCATTAGCCGCCGGACTGCTGGGAGCAAGCTTGGCTCAATTCGGTTTTGCTTTGAATAGGCATATATGTGGCCTCTTGGCAGGGGCGGACTGACAACTCATGGGGCCCCTGGGCAATAGGGAATCATGGGGCCCCTGTGTCCTTGCCCAAACTCAAAAAAGCCTATGAAAAAGGTACTGGGGTATTTCATGGGGCCCCCTACTGACCCCCGGCAGTGCCCGAGTTTTCAAAGGGTCAGTCCGCCCCTGCCTCTCAGTATTAAGGCCCATCACCAAAAGGCCACATATGAGTGCGGCTGGTGGGAAGGAGCTAAAATATCTACACCAGCTTTTGCAATATTAATCTTATCTTTTAATTATGCTATTCATTTTCATCTTGTTCATCTTTGACTAGAGCTCTACTCTCATACGGAGTGTGATAGAGGGAGACTATAATGAAAGTGTTTATTCATTCCTCCGCACCAAACAGACACAGTGGCTCTGCCACCCACATCTACATGAATGGAAAGATATTCCCGCTTTTAGTTCCTCACATATCTGTCTGCATTCTGTAAACTCTGAATTCCATTTGACACTAAAGTAGTGCCTACTAAATCCAAATAATGTGCATAGATCTGCTCAGGGAGCCACAAAACTCCATAAATGTCATACTGATTTTGTCCAGATTAAGTTCAAAACTGAAACTAACATTCATCACATTTATAGATCACAATTTAAAAAAAATTGCTTTATAACTTTGCTTTTTACCAAAATAATCTCTGCAAAAATTTCTCAAAGTGGCAGTTAGCAATTACTATTTTATCATTTCACAGAAACTGCAAAAACAGTTCTCTGACATGCATGGCAGTGGCAAGCTACACATGTTTTTTTCTTCTTGATATGAAAAAGATCAATGACATGTTATAAGGAATTATTAAATCAGCTAGGATTAGTTCTACCACCTCGAGTGGATGTGTGATCTGAACATACAAAGTTTTAAAGGTTCTGTACACCTTCATGGTGACCATTAATACAAACTGTTAAACCGTTTCCTAAAGCGGGCTGGTTCAGTCCTGAAATTGTTGGAAAGCATCATTTTGGCTATGCTTCTCCCAGCTAATTTTTCAGCAGCCAATCATAAGAAATCTGATAAAAGGAATCCAGGGATATTCCCTTTGACATAAGTCCATATACTAAGGCCAGAGCCTGCTACTAGTGTGTATTACTAACTTTTAGTAACCGGCTGGGGAAAAAAAAAAAAAAAAAAAAAAAAACCCTTGCTAGACTATCCTAGTGCCTCTCAATGCCAGCAAGAGAAAATGTAATGTTTGATTTGCTAGCTTGGCTTGATGTGCTTGTATTAGCTGTATTGTATTTTTTTTTTTTTTTTTTTTTTTTTTTTTAAATACCAAAACAGGTATTCCTGTCACATCTGAAGATTTGTCACTCATTTTATATATGGGTACTTTTTCTGTTTGCAGTCCACACTTGATGCTGCCACTGATGACTGGGGCATTAAACTAGAGCGTATGGGGATCAAGGATGTCAAGTTGCCAATTCAACTTCAGCGGGCCATGGCAGCAGAAGCTGAGGCTACCAGGGAGGCAAGAGCCAAGGTAAGCGGATAGGCAGAGTTGTGTTTATTCTATGGTCAATCTACAAAAAGTGAGTAACTGTGCCTTGTGATTGCTGCAACTGAAATTCTCTACTACATCTGTGTTATTAATCTTCACTAAATGTATAATTCAGCATATTACACATTTTGGGATGATGGAATCAGGTGACTCACCAATTCCTCACTTGTTGATTATTGCAAAAGATAATGATCACACAATTTATTTCCACCGATCAGGATTGTATGACTCTAAACAGCTATGGGATTTATACCTCTGCAACTCACCTAGCACAGGTGTCACCAGCCCACCATTTACTGGTCAAGAATTGTGTGCTTCTTCCACTTAGTATAAAATGTAGTTTACTTAGCAACAGTCCATAAAAAATACCAATTTTATAGATGCCCTTCTGCTTCCCTAGCTCCATCACAGATAAGAGATCTGTAAGTCGTACGGAATAACATTTACTGTCCAATATACACCAGGACACAATTTTATGTCCTTTTCTACACTTTCAGGAGATACTGAGTTTGTCCCACAGCTTCTTTGTTACCTGCAGCTCATGGCCTAGAAGCAGTAGATTAGACTTTGAAAACTAATATCTAATGACCCTTTAACTTTGTATCCTTAAGGTTCAGGTCCCTAAAAGCTTTATCTATAAACTGGACATACATCTCATCCACTTTCACGTATGCAAAATTGCTGGCAATTAGTAATCCTCACATTATTGGATGATGATTGGGATGACGTTTGTTGGTGTATGTCCAGCCTATTACTTACACTGGAAACAACAAAATTCTGTTTTGACAATTATTTTCAAAATTTGGTGGGGGGGGGGGGGGGGGGGGTGGATTTTCGACTACATTTCACACGGTTTGATTTTTTTTTTTTTTTTTTTTTTTTAAGCCTTCTATAAATGTATATCCTAAAATCAATCTTTTGACAAGCAAGGGCCACTTAATTTAGTAACCAAGCACAGGCCCCAATGAAATGGTTCAGAATTTAAAAATTTGTTACAGTGGGTAACAATCACCCCCCCAAAATCATTTTGTTGCCCATCACTCCGCCTGGGACAGGAGCTGGTGCTACAGAGGAAGCATAAGCGTGTGCAGCTCATGCTTTCTCAACTGCTGGCACTGGCTAAATGCACTGTGATGCCCTGGGATGGTGCAAGGTCAGAGCGAGATAAATAGGTTGCTGACCCCAGGCATGTGCTTCCCTGGTTTGAGGGACATGGGTTGAGTACCCCAGCCTTAATATGTGTGTCCTAAAAATAAACTAAGGGAAAGGGGAAATGAGTCAGGATCTGGTAAAGATGATAATAGACAATGTTGATGTTCTTTTGTATGCAGCCCCCCCAAATGGCCCCATATCATGTCTGATAACTTGTACACCTCACCATTTTGTACAAACAGTTATCGTAAAGCTATTGTGCACAATAAAAATTTTTTTTTGCATTCACTATAAATCCTTTTCTTGGGAGGCTATTCAAGGATACAAAAAGTCTTTAACCTCTGGGTTATATTTCTGCATAAAGAAGAATGGACAATGAAAAAAAAAAAAAACTGTCGACCAGTTCAGGATATCCCACCTTCTACTATCACTATGCCTCAGTTTTGTAGAAAAGCATTATTGAGAACATGATAAACACATAGGGGTGGGACCCATGTCCCACAATGGACTCAAAGAAAAAGATTTGTGGTCCGTACAAAAATCTTGTTTTCAATCTCGTCCAGTGTGGAACAGTTTGTGTTTTTTTTTTTTTTTTTTTTTTTTTTAAAGTTGGGGCATCCAAAACAGTCCAACTGAGGACTGGGCCCCATAGCAGGCAATTGCTAACAGGTACAGGAAAACAAGGAAGTGGGGCAGCACATAAGAACCAAAGTGCAAAATGTAAGTAATAAGGGATGCAGCGCTACATTCAAATAATGCAACTATGTGAATGAGGGATCTTAAACAACAAATTAAGTGAAATGAAATACCAATGTTAATAATAAATATCAATACGTGCTCGTTAATAATATCATTAACACAAATGAAGTAAATAGCTCAAAACTGGTGAAAAACATAGGAAAAACCCCATCCATATATATATGAATGAAGCAAATTACACATATATATGGTGCAATCCCACGTGCCTATTGTGAAGTGAAAATGATTGTAATAATAATACAAACAAAATGATATCTCAAAATCCAAAAAATATATATACTAATGGTGACAAAACAGTAAATGGTGCTTCCAAATAATACTGTTAGTGACCATAAGTGAAACTCGTGCAAATTTCTGAGTGCGTCCAAATCTGAGAATCCAACCACCATCTGGATTAGCCTCTCACCTCATCCCTTCGACCCTTGCGGATCAAAGAGCAGTAGTGGATCCCTCTCACGGATCCTCCAAGCAATGAAACACTCCAAGGGCAGTTTTCTCAGACCAATATTCCCACACTGGCTCTTCTCCAGGAAAAGTTGTAGTATCAATCTGGAAAGGGCTGATACTGGACGAGTTAGAGACCTGGAAGGATTGTTCTGCCTTGCTGGGATTTGTGTAATGTGTAATTTGCTTCATTCATATATATATGGATGGGGTTTTTCCTATATGTTTTTCACCAGTTTTGAGCTATTTACTTCATTTGTGTTAATGATATTATTAACGAGCACGTATTGATATTTATTATTAACATTGGTATTTCATTTCACTTAATTTGTTGTTTAAGATCCCTCATTCACATAGTTGCATTATTTGAATGTAGCGCTGCATCCCTTATTACTTTCATTGTATATAATCACTGGTATACGATTTGATGTTAGCAGCTTTCTTTGGGATTTAGACACATATTTATTTTTGCTTAAAATTTAAACACTTGGGAGCGCAGGAGGTTCACACCATCAAAGTGCAAAATGTGCCTGCGCAACAAACTATGATACAGCATAATAGTAGCGGGTTAGCACTCACTTTGTAGCACCCACATATACCAGGTTACGTATAAATATTCAATAATAATGTGCAGTGCTAGTAAATTGATCAATAATTATTTTTCAGGTTCATGTTTGTCATATGTGTTATCGGGGTTTATACATATCTTTAACTATCCTTTACACTGTTCAACATTTATTTCCTCAACGTCCATAACAAAGTGCATCGGTATTGGGGAAAAAAAAAAAATGAACACAATTCAATAAATCTTCACCATATAAATAAAAAGGACTTGACCTTCAAATTAATAGGTCAAAACTGGCATTGAATTATGTAATATTGGAAGATAACTACACCCTCCTTTTAATTGAACCTTGGGACACTGACTTGCTGCAGTCTTGCTCAAGCAGTACAGAAAATACATCAAAGTAATAGAACCACATCTATTGCACTTTAGTTAAAATTGGTTCATTCATTAAAAATATATATATATATATGTCTAGTTTACTCACACTGAAAGAAATATAGCCAGCATAGGGAAGTATCCACTTCTCTGTATCTAATGGTTCATGGTTCCTGATCTCCAGACTGCTAGTAAGTCTGACTTCTCTCTAAGAATGATACTTGGTGGCAGGAGTACCAATCTTTCCTTCAGAAATTAAAGGGATGCTTTTTTTTTTTGTCAGCACAACAGGTTTTATTCAAAATCAGGTAATATCCTCCTAGGCATTATAGAAAGAAAAAAAAGAAGCATCTGCTTGGTTGCTTTGGACAAAGCAAACACTGCCCTTGCCAGTTTTATGAGAGTTCCTCAACTTATGCATAGATAATTTGGCACTGATAAAAATGTGTGTTCCCACTGGCATAAACACCTGTATATCTAATTACCAATCCAGATGATTATTCAAAATAGTTATTTGATATTTCTCTCACTTCAGGTAATCGCAGCAGAGGGTGAGATGAACGCTTCCAGAGCTCTTAAAGAAGCTTCCATTGTAATCACAGAGTCCCCAGCCGCCTTGCAGCTCAGATACCTCCAGACACTGACCACCATCGCTGCAGAAAAGAATTCCACCATCATCTTCCCATTGCCCATCGACATGTTGCAGGGACTGATGGGTGGCAGGAAGTAGCACACCCCCCCCCCCTTCACCAGGGTTTAGAAAGAAAGTTCTATGTATCAAATCATTGCCTATAAATTCCCAATGCCTATAAAAACATTTTTTAATTTTTGCTTTGCCTTGTCAAGTCGGATACAAAAATATATTTTTACATATCATTTATATTGAATTTATCTGTAAGACCACTGACTGTTTCAAGATATTTAGTTGTGACAACCTAATCCATGTATGGCTTTATTACAGCACGGCAAGAGTAATGTGCAATAACCAGCCTTCATTCTTGCTTAGTTCACAGCTCTGAGAAGAATGAGAGTTTGGTTGGTTGCCAGGGTTTTCTTTACTATGCAAGGTCTTTTGCTCAGTTCAGTAATTCTGCAGTTGGCTTCAATGCCAGCATACAGTCCAGTAGTAAGACCCACTAAGAGCAGCATTAAGCCGTCAAATTCTGGGAGGTGAAGACAAAACCAGAATTGTCCAAAAAAAAAAAAAAAAAACTGAATATGAAGAAACAAGTACTGTTTGAAAATGTGGGCTGTGGAATGACACCTACTGAGGCCAACACTGTTGCATTTTTTTTTTCTGTACAAAACAAATTTCTACTACAAGGAAAAACACATGAAAAGCGGAGTGCTGATTAAATAAAAGGAAACTTAGCTGGTGAATAAAAGGGCCAGTTCACATGAAACACTGGGAATTTCCAGATCTGTAAGATTTTCTATAACAATCTCCTGTAGGTTTGTTCTTGGACTGTTGAATTGTGCTTACACATCCCCACCCTTTTAACACCTTCCTGCCTAGAGCAGATTGATGGCCGGGCGGGACACTCACCATTGCGACTGGGAGTCATATGAAGTGCTGTCAAAGTCAGCCGTGTGATGTCACCGCCTGTGTCCAAAGGACTCAGCCGATGACACTGGCAATAGGGGCAGTGTAGTGATAATGTCATCTGACCAATCACATGTCGATTGTATAAAATGAATGACATGACAGGAAGCCATCCATTGTATACAATTGTGTTTGCATCATGTGACTGCTTTGATCAATCATAGCCCATCTGTATCATGTGACGAGCTTTGCCCAATCACAACAAACAACTGAATCAATATGTATATCTTATACTTTCAAAGTGCTAATGAATAGCTTTCAAGATACTGCATGTATCAAAACAATTATTACTAGTGACTCAAAACATCATTGTGAATATTAATCTTCATGCAAGTGACATTAATAACTGATAATCCTAAGGTGATAGTGCCTATTAAAGTACAGTGATATACAAATCAGAAATACTCCTCTATTCTACTGTGATCCTTATATTTATATTGTGCAAACACATATATATTATGTGCACGTGCTTATGATATATTCAATAAAAAAAAAAAAAAAAAAAAAAAAAAAAAAAGTCTTTCAAAATAAATGTGCAGGTGGATTCTTGGTTCCCTCTCGCCGAGTGCTTAATGGTCTCCCTATGTGCTCACCTCTATATTTGCCTGAATAAATCCAGGCAAATACACTTTTTATCCTTCCAGGATAGATGGGATGGAATGATGCTCTTGAATTATCTCAGAAGGTGGATGTGGATTTATATTTGTTCTCCTGTAGCTGCTCATGAGTGGGTATACTGACCATCTCTCTGAGGATCTCCCAATTCCCCTCCTGGGGCTGTTTCCTTTTCCAGTCCTCCTTATATCAGCTCAAAGGGTGTTGTTCAATTGAGAAAGGAAGACAAACAGACCATAGTGTCTTATCCTTGTGCAAAAAGGGGTTTATTGCTGCCAGTTGCACAGTAGTATACAATTGTAGTCCAGCATAAATGTGCTCTGCCTCTGTTCCTGCAGTGCTGTCTACCTGTGTCTGTATTCAGATCACTGAGCCTCTCCAGTGCAATGTCGTGACGTCAGAGCCCCTCCCCTCCTGGGGAGGGGCTCTGACGTCACGACATTGCACTGGAGAGGCTCAGTGATCTGAATACAGACACAGGTAGACAGCACTGCAGGAACAGAGGCAGAGCACATTTATGCTGGACTACAATTGTATACTACTGTGCAACTGGCAGCAATAAACCCCCTTTTTGCACAAGGATAAGACACTATGGTCTGTTTGTCTTCCTTTCTCAATTGAACAACACCCTTTGAGCTGATATAAGGAGGACTGGAAAAGGAAACAGCCCCAGGAGGGGAATTGGGAGATCCTCAGAGAGATGGTCAGTATACCCACTCATGAGCAGCTACAGGAGAACAAATATAAATCCACATCCACCTTCTGAGATAATTCAAGAGCATCATTCCATCCCATCTATCCTGGAAGGATAAAAAGTGTATTTGCCTGGATTTATTCAGGCAAATATAGAGGTGAGCACATAGGGAGACCATTAAGCACTCGGCGAGAGGGAACCAAGAATCCACCTGCACATTTATTTTGAAAGACTTTTTTTTTTTTTTTTTTTTTTTTTTTTTATTGAATATATCATAAGCACGTGCACATAATATATATGTGTTTGCACAATATAAATATAAGGATCACAGTAGAATAGAGGAGTATTTCTGATTTGTATATCACTGTACTTTAATAGGCACTATCACCTTAGGATTATCAGTTATTAATGTCACTTGCATGAAGATTAATATTCACAATGATGTTTTGAGTCACTAGTAATAATTGTTTGATACATGCAGTATCTTGAAAGCTATTCATTAGCACTTTGAAAGTATAAGATATACATATTGGTACATGGGAGCGCGGCACTATCTATTTTGAAAATATTATATATACACTAGCATATGAGTCAGTGCAAGTGCCAGCGAACCTCACGTGAGAAATAAGGACATCTAAAGTCACATATTGAACACACCTCATTTCATAATAGCTCACAAGCATTCACCATTTATAAACAACTGAATCAGTTTCATGCAGTAACAATGATTACAAATATCAAATACTTGGTACTGGCAATCATAATGAGTAAAAAAAAAAAGTTGATCACTTGCCCAAAGTAGTTCAAGGTTACTATGGTAACATGGTATTGATTTGGCCACTGTGTTAAAAAAAAAAAAAGTAAAAATGAAAAAAAGTAAAAAAAATTTGGAGAAAATTTTTTTTTTTTTTTTTTACATACTGTCACCAGTCAGTGTCCCTGACCAGTCAGCTTTTTTTTTTTTTTTTATTTCTACATTTTCCTAAAAATTACAACCTCCAAAAAACTCACATTTCCTTTTTACTAAAATACCCTGGACTGTTTATTTTCCAAAAATGTTTAATTTGGGGGGTATTTGTACTATGCTGGGGTTTTTGGGCCTCAAGAAATGAGATTGGCCATCAGAGTCCACAAACCATGGTCTGACAATTGATTAATCAATGTACCAACTTTCCTACAGACCAAATAATATACACTAATTTGGGGTATTTTCACGATAAATGTAGCAAAATACATTTTGACCTAAATTTATGAAGAAATTTTCTAACAAAAACAAAGAAAAATGAGTTTTTCTCCAAAGTTTCAGGTTGTTTGTTTATTTAGCAAAAAAAAAAAAAAAAACTAATTTCTTTTGGTGGTATTTAATCGCCACTATTTTGTGTGAAAAAAAAATTATTTTTTTTTTATGGGTACTGTGTTGCATGATCGCGTAATTGTCAAAGTGCAACAACACTGAAAGCTGAAAATTGGCCTGGGCAGGAAGGGGGTAAAAGTGCCCGGTATTGAAGTGGTTAATTGTATGGGTGGTATAAGAATTTCATTCCTTTTTATTTCCCTTTAGTTTTGGAGCCTGAACCTTTTTTAAAAACGAAATCATTTTTCTTCATGCAGCTCATTTCCTGTTCAGTAAAGTACTGATGTGTGCTGCAGGCAGCCCCTCCCAACCCAAACCACCAACATATACAGTCACAAATGTTAACACCCTTTCAGCCTTTCAACAATGTTTAAGTTATCACAAGCTAACTGGAGTCACTGACAAGAGCATTGTAGAGCGCGTGAAAATTGCTGTCTGTATTCTAGATACATTGCAACATCATCTTTTGTGTAGCAGTTTGTTTAGTAGATGGTGTGGCTCTTACACCTACAGGAGCATCCCAGCCAACCATAGTGCAGCAGTGACAGACTTTCACACCTCCCTCCCTGTCCTAGCTCCTGAATGAATAGGACATTAATGACAGAAAACAAAACAATCCAAAGTTAATTGAAAATTTTCCTAATAAAGCTTTCTAGCTTCCCTAGTGGGCCATTAGTGTAATGAACAGCTTCAGTGACCAATAATAGAGCTGTCATGTAGGCTGGGCTGAGAGGAACTTTTAGAGACATAAAACCTTCATAGAATGTCAGCTACCTATACCTCTGGATCTACTGATCATTTTGACACAAGCCCACTGTGATTAGATGACTTTATAATTCCCCCAGTGTGAATTTACAGCCCCTGGAGGGGTAATTAGGGCTGCTGCTGTTAGAGCAACTGAATACAGCTTAGCTGAAACGAAAGGTGTTTTACTGTATTCTTATAAACAGTTTTTATATTTTTTGGGTTGTTAGAATATTTAAAAACATTGTCTTCTGAAACTTATTATTCTGAACAGATCTTGTTTGTTTGTTCATATGTTCTTCCAATCAAGAGATTATGTAATGAAGGTCTTTCAAAGCATTTGTTATCAAGTAAATGATGTATTTAATGTTTTGTCTGCCTGTTCTATTCATTTTATTTAGTACTGGAAATCAGAATTTGTAATTATATTATCCAGGTTCAGTGCAGCCTAAATGCAATATATTGAACAGCAATACCCTTTCCATGTACATTCAGAAACTGGACTGCACTCAGGATTCGTTCAAGCTTTTATTACTGTTTAAATATCCAAAAGTTGCACTGGAAGGTATAACAAAAGATTTTGGTTATTGCACAGCTAGTGGGGGAGGGGCGGAGTTATGAAACGTCTCTGGAAGATTCTAGAGGCAGTGAAGGCACAGGGACCGCACTCCATGAACACGTCACATGTTCAGTTCCGCCAGGGCTTTCTCCAGGGGATCCACCTCCCAGTAGTCATTGTCCCAACCCAGGAACCAGCCAGTGAACGTGGGTGGCTCAAAGCCTTGCTTGATGACCGCAATAGGAGTCCTCTTGTCACGATTGGCTGGGTCAGTTTCAATGTATTTTGATGCTGAAAAACAATGGTGAAAATGATAGTCTGTATACAATCAATCAACTTAAAACTTATAAAAGAGTAGATTGATTAGTGGAGGGATTGATCTTGGTAGTTGATACACTAATTTTGCCAAAAGATTAGTGGTCGCTTCTAAAAATGATTGAGTTCAGGTATTTCCAGCAAAATGAACTAAATGATACAGCATAAAAATACTTTAGGCAATGGTGTGCTTTCATGCTTGCGGTGACAGTTTACGGGAGGCAATTTTCTGTTACAGCATGATTGTTCCCATGAGCCAGGTAAATAAACACATGGTTCCATGAATTTGGTGTGAAGGAACTTGAGTGGTCGGCACAGAACCCTTACCTCAATTTTATTGAACATGGGCAAGAATTGCCTCACCATTGGTGTTCCAATTCTTCCAAACAAACAACAGTACCTGACCTCAAATATCCTAGCAGACAACACTCCAAAATATAGTAGAAAGGATCCCAGAAGAGTCTAGATAGTTTCAGCTGCAAAGGGGGGTGGGCCCAATGTCATATTAGTGCCTACATGGGATGGGTATTCCAACAAACTCTTATAGGTGTGATAGTAACAGGACCACAAACATTTGGCCACAGTGTATAAGAGCAAAAGAGGAATTGTTGCTTCCGGTCAGTAGGACAAAACTGACAGATCTCCTCATTGCAGTTTTGGTTTGTCTTCTACTCGATAATGGTATAGCAATTCAGAAAAAAAAAAGCTTTTGATTGTCTTGTTACAATCTACATCCAAACTACTATGTTACAAATGTTCTTCCACTCAACAGCCAAAATACATCCTCTTTTTCTGTCTGTGAAGGAATCTACATGTTCCTCTAATTACAGAAGACTTGCACTTGGCTTCAGGGAGTACATTTTAAACATTAAAAGGAGAGATTCACCTTTGAAAACACATCACACACTTTTAAAAGTGTTGCTTCACCCCAACATTACTTCAGCACTAAAGTATGGTTCTTAAATGGAGTAATATATATTTTTCCTGGTTGAACTCCTCTTCATTCTCAGAAAGAAATCAGACAGAGGAATCAGAGACTAAGTGGAGAAACATTTTTTTAAAAAGGCGTTACCAGAGGCGACGGCTTCCTTCTTCTCTTCCTCTTGAGCATCATTACCAATCCAGACAAACACCTGAAAAATAATATTTGCAGATATCAGATGTCTCAAAATAATGGACAGCACTAATCATTACCTATGAGTTATACATCAGGTCTCTGGTAAATAGCAATTGTATGATTCCAAATGACAACACACTGGGGTAGATTCTGATATTTTTGCGGGTTCTGAAAGTTCACCAACTCACAGCAGATGATACAATGACAGAAATGAAGTTGCAGACCTTCAATAGGGCCCCTTATATTGTAAATACTGTGCAGAAGGCATGTCCGGTATGCAGCACTGAGCTGGTTTAAGAATTTAAACTGAATAAAACACCGGCTGTTCACCCCTCCATAAAGACAGCACTTCATTATGTATTTTGGCAGTCGACTATTCAAGGAAATCTTTTGATCCCCTTATGTGGGATAAATAATGAAAATTGCAATTGTCACCATAATGTTAATTATCAAAGCGCTATAATCTTCTGGGATTAGGTAGGTGTGGCTGTCAGCAATCATTAAACTTGAATGAAACTGGATTGGGTCAGATTAAGTGGGACAGATCTTTAAAGGATAAGTTCACTTTAAAAAATAAATGCTCATTTTTTCGCAGGTAAAATAAATGTGCAGTTTTACCATTTCTGTTTTGGAGCCTGGAAAACATTACACCAGCGATCATCAGATTGTTGGTGCCATGCAGGACTACTGCAAACCTGTCTGCTTGTACCTCATATAGGCAAGCATATACACACAGATACACTGTGTGACAGAAATAATATAGAAAACTACCACGGCGCTGTAGTGCATTGAAAACTACAAGCTGACAGCCACAAAGGGTGTCAGGACTTGTAGTTCATTTATACACAGAAGTTTATGAATGAATGACGTGGCTGTGTGGGCAGAGCCCCACACAGCTGCGCTGTTTTCGAAAAGTGACAGCTACTATGGGGAACTTTTCCCTGTACTGCTGTCACAGGGAGAGGATGTCGGGTGGCAGCTGCAGCAATGGGAACAGGTTACACCCTTAAAACATGTTCCCAAAAGTGAACTCGTCTATTAACTCCTTTTTTGCCGACAGTATGCATTCATGCGGCCTCACAGAAGTGGGACTTTATCTGTGAGGCCACATATATTCGTATCCGTGTCTTTTAGGAGGGAGAGGGAGAGAGACCTCTGCTAGGACCATAGGGATGGAATGGAAAGTGATGTGAAGATATGGATTCTGCAGAACAGCAGGTTTCGAATATAGCTGGCACTGTCCTTATGCAATGAGGCCTTAAGTCAATGCAGGAGGTGGATCTTAACCCTTCACGCCTAAGGGTAAAACAAATCTAAAATGCCCAAGCACAATTTTTCAGCGTTGACATGTGTTAGTAAAACCGTACATATCATTACAACTACTTTGTACATCCAGGTGAATTATACCTTGTTTTTTTTTTTCCAGGATAAATTGGGCTTCCATTTGGTGGTAAATGGTAATGATATCTCCTGATTTTTTTTTTTATTATCAAAAGGAAAAACTGGCCCAACATAGTTAAAAAAAAAAAAAAAAAAAGAAGAAGAAAGAAGCTGCGCGTTTGTTACTACCATAACCTACCACCAAGGAACAACCCAAAATAAATTCTCCAGCGATACCATATATGTATGTTATTTGTTGTTTGTACCTGTAGTACAGCCCAGAAACAATAGTACGCGTTGTGTTTTTGTCCTTTTTTTTTTTTTAACCTTAAAAAAACACACTGACCCCAAATTTTTTGTAAAATCCTGACCTTTGACCCTGACCTTTTGACCAAAACACTAACCCTGGCACTGAACTAGATCAAACCTTGATCTAGGTATTTTTTCTTTAAAATTTAAGATTTATGATTTTATTTTTTATTTTTTACAAAATATTTTTCTCTCTATGCCAGGAGTTAGAGAGATACAATGTATCTCACTACTCCATTCATAGAGAGAAAAAAAAACAAAACAAGAGGGCCAGGCTGTACAGTGACTGGTCATTGTGATAGCCAATGAGAGGCTATCACAGCAATCATGCGACCTGGAATCGAGAGTCCCTGATCGTTAGAACGGGACCCAGGGCTCTCAGTGACACTGCGGTCTTTGTGCTCTGAGTGCACTGTGCGGCACGCTCCCAGCACAAAGACAAGTACGCAAATATGCGGCCCCACGCAAAAAAGCCCAGTTCTGTGAGGCCGCATATTTGTGTTACGTCGACGTCAAGGGGTTAATATACAGTATATTGAGTACAGATATCCAGCAGATAGACAGGTTCTTATATATAGATTTCGCTGGGTATTTTGTCAACTGGCTGGAAGTGCCAGATCTGCTGGTGTTCTGATTCTTTCACAGTACCTGATCCCAGGTATCGAGGAGCATAACATCATCTGTAGCCAGATCATCCTGGGTCAGCTCTCCCGGAACTTCCTCAATCTATGGAATGAGAAGACATCAAGAAGGATAAATGTCAAGAAGTGAATGCCACCCGAAGATTGCCCACATCCACTTTTTTTTTTTTGTAATACTTACAATGAAGCGACCAGTTTTGTTGGAACAAGCAAACAGACGTGGTGGGTGGGCATTGAGTCTGTCCTTCAGTCTAGCAGATGTACGATATGGTCCTTTACCACTAAGAGCCTCCCAGAAGTCATCTGAGAAAAAGAGGACTACGGTTAGTTGCAGAGTCCCTCTTCAGGCAATAAGAATATAGAAACAGCAGACATTTAAATGGTTGTAAGGACAGAAGGTTTTTAACCTTCATGCATTGTATGCATGAAGGTAAATAAACTTTCGAAGTGCAGCTCCCCTGCAGCCCTGCCACCCCCCCCCTCCCCGAGCTCACCTGAGCCCAAATCGAGATCCAGCAATGTGCACGAGAGCCAAGGCTCTTTTGGCTCACTTACATCTCACTGAATTAGCAATACCAGTGAGGTGGGCGCGAGGGGGGGGGGGGTGGAGGGAAATGGGGTGGGGCCAAGTCACAGAGTTGCCTTGGGAGTGAGCCTGCATGAGAGCCCCCAGAGCAGCAGCATATGACATGTTTGTTATTAAAAATGGACCTTTTGAGTCAGTCACTTTAAAACCTGTATCACCAAAGAAGGGAAAGTAGCGTAGCTCCTATATTGTGATAAGAGTAACATTGAAGGCATTTGTATCATTTTTTGGGATAAATATGACAGAATAATACATTTACACTCAATTCCTCCAGATAGTCTTAAATCCACTTTTACATTTTAGGCCCCTTGCAAACAGGCCTGTCGAACTGCTAGGCGCCCCCTCATGGCATTTTAGTGGATCCAGAAGGGACAGGTGCAGAGTCCAGCCTCACTGTCTGCAGCCTGTGAGAAGTCTATGGCTAGCTGCAACTGGATGGGACTAAATGCTGTACCGAGTGGTAACTGCGTTTAGGGCCCTATGCATTCAGGGACAAATAGCCAGCTGCAACCTGTCATAGGCCGCAAGCAGCAGGACTGGCTGCTGCTCTTGTCCCTCACCGGGCATAATAAAATGCTGGGAGGGATACATAGCAGCTAAAAACATTCCCGTGAACAAGGATTCTTGTGTTTAAACAAATCTGTGATACAGTGGATATAACAAATCTACACACCCCTGTAAAAATGTCAGGTTTCTGTGATGTAAAAAAGTGAGAGAAATAATTTCAGAACTTTTTACACCTTTAATGTGACCTACAAACTGTACAACTCAATTGAAAAACAAAACTGCTTTTTTTGGGGAGGGGAGAATAAACATAAAAAGCTAAAATAATGTGGTTCCATAAGTGTGCACACCCTCTTCTAACCAGGGTTGTAGCTGTGTTTAGAATTAAGCAATCACATTCAAAATCATGTTAAAATAGTCAGTACACACTTGCCATCATTTAAATTGCCTCCCATTGCCCCAAATAAAATTCAGCTGTTTTAGTACGGCTTTCATGATATTTTCTTAGTCGCATCCTACAGCAAAAGCCAAGGTCTGCTGAGAGCTTCCAAAGCATCAGAGGGATCTCATTGTTAAAAGGTATCAGTGAGGAGAAGAGTACAAAAGAATTTCCAAGGCATTAGATATACCATGGAACACAGTGAAGACAGTCATCAAGTGGAGAAAATATGGTGCAACAGTGACATTATCAAGAACTGGATGTCCCTCCAAAATTGATGAAAAGACCAGAAGGAAAAAAAAAAAAAAAAAAAAAAAAAAAAACTGGTCTGGGAGGCTGCCAAGAGGCCTACAACAACATTAAAGAAGCTGCAGGAATACCTGGCAAGTACTGGCTGTGTGGTACATGTGACAACAATCTCCCGTATTCTTCATATGTCTGGACTATGGGTAGAGTGTCAAGACAGAAGCCTTTTCTTACAAAGAAAAACATCCAAGCCCGGCTATATTTTGCAAAAACACATCTGAGTCTCCCAAAAGCATGTGGGAAAATGTGTTCTGGTCTGATGAAACCAAAATTTAACCTTTTGGCCATTATTCCAAAAGATATATTTGGCGCAAAAACAACACTGCACATCACCAAAACCACACCATACCCACAGTGAAGCATGGTGGGGGAAGCATCATGTTTTGGGGCTATTTTTCTTCTGCTGGAATTGGGGCCTTAGTCAAGGTAGAAGGAATTATGAACAGTTCCAAATACCAGTCAATATTGGCCCAATACCTTCAGGCTTCTGCTAGAAAGCTGGACCCCTTCTTTCAGAGACAATGACCCAAATCATACATCCAAAAAAACAAAGGAATGGCTTCACCAGAAGAAGATTCAAGTTTTAGAATGGCTCAGCCAAAGCCCAGACCTGAATCCGATCGAAAGTCTGTGGGGTGATCTGAAGAGGGCTGTGCACAGGAGATGCCCTCGCAATCTGACAGATTTGGAGTGTTTTAGCAAGGAAGAGTGGGCAAATATTGCCAAGTCAAGATGTGCCATGCAGATAGAATCATACCCAAAAAGACGGAATGTGCTGTAATAAAATCAAAAGGTGCTTCAACAAAGTATTAGTTTAAGGGTGTGCACACTTATGCAACCATATTATTTTATTTTTTACTTCCCTCCACCTAAAAGATTTCAGTTTGTTGTTCCACCTAAAAGATTTCAGTTTGTTGCTCAACTGAGTTGTACAGTTTATAGGTTACATTAAAAGGTGTAAAAAAAATGAGACAAAGAACTCATTTCAGAACTTTTTCCATCACAAAACCTGACATTTTAACAGGGGTGTGCAGACTTTTTATATCCACTGTAATTTACCCCTAAAAACACACTGAAGACTTCAAAAACTTTCAGAAAGTCCACCTTTTGCTGCAAATCAGGACATAAGCAATTCACAGCAGTCATGGCCATGGATGACCAATTTTCTAGAAACCGCTTACCTGGCTCACTGCCTTCTGCCATTGTTGACCCCGATACTCCCAGAACATTAATCAGTTCCCGGGCCCCACGCTTTTCAGCATCACTGGCCCCTTGTCCAACCCACAGGAATGCAGTTGAGGGTGTCTTCAGTACAAAAGCATCATTTGAGTTGAGGTTGCTGGCTGCCACATCCACCTGGAACACACACAGGCAGAGGGTTAAATTACCAATAAAAATGACAGTGTGGAAGAAGATAACACACCTAGAACAGCCAAAAGGTTTAGCTGCAGAGCCGTTAATTTTTTTTAAACCTGAGAAAAAAAAACTAAATTTTAGGCCTGAAGATTAGTTAAAAAACCCCCAAATATTATGTATTTTCTGAAAGCAGACATTGATACCCAATGTCAAAATTAAAATTTGCATGGAAAATTAGATCAAACTTCAGTGCCCTATAATTTTCCACAGATGATGCTTAAAAGTCCCTGCAGCTCTTCACTTTAGAGAGTTAACGGTAATTAGCTGTAGAATTATTGCTCTCATTCTGCTGTGTGGCAATTTGTAACAGATATAGTGCAAGCAACATATTTTAACACAGGCACCCTGAAGGGGTGTGTTTAGGTTTATGTGTGTATATATATATGTAGGGATGGAATGGGGGCTCAAAGTTTTTTGGGTAGGTTTCTTAGTGCTTGGGTACAAACAATTTGACACTTTTTTTTACTAAAACTATTTATATCACATAGTGGACAAAAAGTCCCCTATGCAACAAACTCTTTGTTACCGGTTCTCTTATGAGACATCAGGGATCTTTTAGACCACTAGGGGCACAGTTCCAGGAGTCACAGAAACGAATGGGCAGCTGTACAGCTACAGCCGTCTGATCCCTTTCATCATAAAGCCAACAGTTGGCTCGTGGAGTATACGCTGTAGCAGCCAGGAGTGTGTGTAAATGCCCCCCCCCCCCCCCTTGCCACCAATGTATGACATACTCCAGTGGCAGTAAAGGGATTAAAGGTTGGTCTCTGGAAAAGGTTTCTGGCGGTCATTAGCACTCAGCTGCACAGATAAATCCCTCCATTTCTACTTTTTTCACTTATAAATTTTAAAAAGTGGAGTTTGGGCTACAGGTTGCACACGAATATGAAATAAAAGACCCTTTTCCTGTTCAACTACATCACCAAAGATGCTGAAGAGGTGACTGGCTACTAAATAGTTAGTGAATAAAGATCCTGCCCAGGTGAAAGAACATGCCAGAACTCAGCTTGTATAGTGCATACCTTAAGAATAGCTCATAACAGAATGGTGTAAAACTGGCTTCTGGGATATGAGAAAATCCGGCATGCCCCCTTTGCCCCTTTTGCATCCCAAAATGCAATGCTTAGTGGTAGAGAAGCCAATTACATGGGCTACATTCTGTTATATGGAGGTGGGGAGAATGTGTGTCAACTCAATAGACTCCCAGAAAGTCCACCATCATGTAAGATATTCAGAGGGCTTCAGAGAGGTCCTGAAGGAGTAATTCTCCTCCTGTTTGTAAAAGCAATGCTGCGGCTAATTAGCCACTAGAATTGTTTTTTTCATGAAAGCTGATCGCCAGCGGAAAAAAAAAAAAAAAAAAAAAAAAAAAAAAATAATCAGGCCTGATCTTGCTAACCCTGAAGTTCTGTATGCAATGTAACAAGTGCCAGTAATTTTCCCACATTGCACTTGCTGGGGGAGAAGGGGAAGAAAGGGGGGGGGGGGGGGGGGGGGGGGGGGGGGGGTTAAGCGTGTGGCCTAAAAAGCAGGTGCTGTCAGGTGTCAGGACTGATCCTACTAATGCTGCATTTTTGGGGACACTATACTGTTGTGAATCCTGGTATAGTTATAATCTGATTAAAGAGATCGATCCATACAGACACTACTAGCAATGGAGGTTTATTGTGTATGTGGGTGTGTTTACTGCGATTTACTGTGCAAACACAGGCAGGGACTAAGCTCTGATTCAGTACAGCGATCAGCAGATACAGGCCAAACATTGGTCTGAACCTGGTGAGTGAACGGTGCTGTGCCGAATCACAGCACCGCAGGACCAGTGGGGGCCTGCGCACGCACTCTCTGCCCGTGAACACCGTGGGAGCGCAGATCATGTACACATACACATACAATTTTGCACAGGGAGTCTGCTCTGTAGCAGTAAAACTTCAAGTGGCTAATAAAGCAGAGTTTATATATAAAAAAACAACCCAGTCATGAGCCAACAAGTGGCAGTTTCCTTCATGTGTCCACAATACTTGGCAGATTGTAAACAGGACAGTATAGTGGGAATTTTATTCTCATCTTATCTTTCATTCTGTTCCAGGCCCATCACCTCACTGGCAGGAAAGCTGCTTTACCTTCTGGGAATCATATCAAAAACAAGGTCAGCTACATTAGAAAGGCGTTCTTAAATGTCAATTAATCAATCAGCAGCCTCAAGGATTTACCCACCGTACACTTACCTCCACAGCTCTGGTGAATCCAGAAGAAGATGCACGGACTTGGAAAAGGCGAATGTCTGCATCTGCCGTCTGTCCACTTTCTCTTGACGTCCCTCCTTTGTAGACAATCAGTGGCTTCCCGCCAAACAAACTCAACAGATGTGGTGGCTCCTTACCCTGTACCACACGGACCTGCCAATCACAGAACATGGTCAGTATTTCACCCTTCGGTACCATTGTCGTTACCACGGTTTGCTTTTAGCTCCATAGATCAACATACCAGTGTTTCTAGAAATTTGAATAACCAGAAACTTTTCTGTTAAAAAGCTCCTGAAGTGTCTGTTACAATCAATGTTTGTGGAACAGCATGACAGTTTCATGGTTTTCACAGTAAAGAACCCATTAAAAGAGAAGTTGGGTTATAAAAAAACAAAAAAATCAAAAAACACAAACATTTTATACTCTGCCTTTTAGAAGTGGCAGGGGACAGATGCTGCATCCTCCTAGAAGAGAGCTGAGCGACCAGCTGTCTTCGATAGTCACCGGCTCTCTGAAGACTGAGAACTGCACAAACAGTCACCGGCTTTCTGCTCTGCCCCTCCAGTGCTCACTGGAGCTCTGGGCTGTGGAGGAGGTGGGAACTGCCAGTTTGGGCATCTGGGTGGATCCCATCTTTAAAGTTGGGATTTTTCCAGAGCCTGGACCGGCTGAGTGATGTGCCCTAGCCAGCTGTCAGCAGAAAACAGGTCACAGGAGTGCAGAACAAGCTACACTCCTGTGAAACCCAGGAGATGTATAGCCAAAATAGCTTTGTTGTATAGATGGCCATGTCTTGGTAGGTTTGCAGTTGTGACATACTCTTTCCCATTTTCATATGATGGATTGAACAGTGCTCCGTGAGATGTTCAAAGCTTGGAATTTTTTTTTTTTCCCCAACCCGGCTTTAAACTTATCCACAACTTTATCTCTGACCTATCTGATGTGTTTCTTGGCCTTCATGATGCGGTTTGTTCACTAATGTTCTCTAATAAACTTGTGAGGGCTTCACAGAACAGCAATTGGTCCGCAAAATGCGGTGTAATGTGCAGAATCGGATCACATAGGTTTGAATACTCATGCGATCCGATTCTAGTGCGGACCCAAAAAAGGGTCCTGCACCTTTTTTGGTGCGGTGCGATTTGAGCCATACATAATGTATCGCTCCAATCGCACCGGAAACAAAATCGCATGTGATTTGCACAGGAATACAGTGCGGCTCTTGTGCGAATCACATATGATGTACCGCAATGCATTAGTGTGAACCTAGCCTAACATATCATCACATTCTGAGTGGAGAAACTTCATGCCTCAAAAGGTGCAACTTAAAATCATATAGATGGGATATGAGCCCCAAATAACTATCTGCATGATACAGATCTGCATTGCCTGTATTCAAGTGCTGCCTTTCAGTTATTACTGATGGTACTTCAGTCTGTATCATTACCATTTTCCTCTGCTGCTGGTTTTTTAGAGAGGTTTTTATACAAACTATAAAATGTGGACTTGGGCTATTATGTGAAACTTTGCAAGTTGCAGAAGAAGGTAACCAAACATCCATATCTAGAGTCAGAGAACAGATCTCAATATTCTACCTACGAACTTGGTATTGGAAGAATTACTGAAGTGCCATTCTATCACAACTGTCCCACTGGCAGCAGGGAGGAGGTTTTACAGTTACACTTCCTTTCCTCATTACACAAACATCCATAGATCACATCAGATGGGATTCAGAACAGCAATTAAAGACAAAAAAATTCAAGCAACTTCTTCTGTAGATCTCAGGGCCAAGTTCAACTCGAGAACATCAAGTTAAATGTGTGCACAGCAAAACAGTCTCCATGACAACAACAATGGTGCTCATTCAGGCTTAAAGTGATTACTTAAAAGGAAAAAAACAGTGCAACTGAAACAATCGATGGGGCAGATTATCAGAAGCAAAAGGAAGACAAAGAAGAGATAAGTAATGGAAACACATCCTGGTATTTACAATATTTCGTCAGGTCAGAGTACAAGAGATATAGAGAAAAAAAAAAAAAAGTTTCCACATGCATATCCATCACCCAACAGACCTTGTGTTTAATGTCCATGAATGCTGCATGCACAAAACACACCCCATGACAAAGTGAACAGCAACACACCTCATGACAAGTTGAACAGTTAACTACATTTCAAATCAAGTGATATCATTGTTACTTGAAGACAGGGAAGGCTCAAGCATCTCCTAATACATAGAAGTGGGTGAACACCAATATCCAGAATACTGGAATATTTCATACAAAGACCGTAGGAACACTGGCAAGCAAGATATACAGAGGGGACCCCAATATGCAAGGGTACCCTTAGTATGCCACATAAAAAAAACATCCTGTGTAGGGTGTACAGTTCCAGGAGTGAACCCAAACTATGAGTGAGGGTCAGGACAAACAAGTAGGACATGCAGGGTACCTGGCTCCGAGGTCCCTGTCAGGAAAGAAGGAGGAGAGGCATTGAAAGAATAAAAAGACAGTAACAGACAATCAAAATTACATAAAAAAAAAAAAAAAAAAAAAAAAAAAAAAAGAAGAAGAAGAAGGAGGAGGAGAACTCCGCACCATGCCCTCTCCTAGGACAATTAATGATCCAGGGAAAAACATTAAATATTACATGACGCCAGAGGGAAAAAAAAAAAAAAAAAAAAAAAAAAAACACCTGGACACTGGCCCATAAAGTTTTTAAACCGTGCAATTTGCTCTGCATGACCTGTACGATGTATAATAAAGCCCTGAATGAGTGGAGAATTACAACAAACTCTGCTCTATAATTTAGTATAAACATTGCATATGGAGTGTGAGCAATTCATGGACAAATCAGAGGAAGGTCAATCCAATCTAAGAAGCAGCAAGTACTCTAAAGAGCCATGAATACATTCAGCCAGCACCAAACATAGAAAAGTAATGCTGGCTGCTTGGATCCGGATTGTCTCCAGTCCTTTATTATACATTTACACTGCATTACACAAAAACCTCATTTACGCAGGCAGAGGGCTGCAGTTAAAAGCAGGCGTTCACATCGGTTTACCTTGCTGCTGAATCTGCCAGTTCAGACTAACATGGAAGCATTGCGCTGCTCTTAAATGATCAGGTCTTGCTTGGCAGGCATTATATCTGCCAAACACACTCATTAAGGTCAATATAGGACTATGTTGCAACCACATGCCATGCAGGGCTGTAGTGGTTGTGGCACCTTACTCGAATGTAAAGTCTCCCGTAAATTGGCTTCAAACCATAACCTGAAAAATGATCCACCATGGATTGCTTTTCACAGCTTCCATCTGTGTCAAAGAAGACAAATAGTAGTCCTAATACTGTTTGGATTTCACTTTTGGATTGCATTTCCTGCAATAGAAAAGTAGCAATTCTGCCCCACAGTACCAAACATCATGAAAAAAGTCAGTGTCTGTGCGAGGATGATGGCACAGATTATACAGGAAGTGGCGTTTCCGGATTCAGCTAGGGCACACTGAAAAAAAAAAAAACAAAGAACAAAAAAACCACACACACCAGACTAGGTTCACATTTTTTGCAGGTGCGTGCAAATCGCACGTGTTCCCACAACTGCATGCAGCCATAAAAAAAAAAAAAAAAAAACACACACCACACCATGAAAGAATGATCATTAGCTCTCAATGGCACCCCCACAAAATGGAAAAAGCTGTGCCAAAGCACAATGCAGTTTTTGTGCGGCTGCATTTTATAAAAAATAAAAAAAGTGCAGGGACCTTGTTCCTGCAGGAGACACAGGCACTGGGGCTGCTGTGCCTGCCCAATCATGCATTATCTAAATATACTGTTAACTTAGAGATCTTTTAATGTAGGAGAGTTGGGCTGGATCCATCGGGTCATTATAATCTTTTTTGCTACCAAGCAAAATAAATTCCTTTTTGCTTCCAAAGAATAATGTAATAAGCCTAAGAGGGACACTGAAACCTAGTAGATCCAGATATAGGGGTTGCTTTACTAAAATTGGAGAGTGCAAAATCTGGTGTAGCTTTGCATGGTAGTCAGCCAGCTTCTAACGTCATGTTGTTCACTTAAGCTTTAGTCCTGGTTCACACCAGTGCGACTTGCCATGTGATCTGACCGTTTCAAATTGCTGACAAATTACACCTTATAGTCCGCAAATGGAACCGTTCAAATCAGTGCAACTCCCACTCTGCGGTGCTGCACTGAATTGAAAAAATAAACAAAAAATGGCTCCTGTGCTATTTTCAGGTGCGACTCGCATTGCATATACATCTGTGCATGAAGTTGCATAGATGTCAGCCAAGTCGCACATGAAGTCGCACTAACATGAAGCTTTGAAAGTGAAGTCGCATGATTTCAAAGTCTCTTTCAGTGTGAATGACAGTGAAACCTGGAAGCCGATTGGCTTCTATACAGAGCTGCACCAGATTTTGTACTCTCCAGGTTTCATAAATCAGCCCAACAGTATTTATAAATTGTACAACCTCATGCCTGAATTTCTCTATTATCGGGCATTGCCACCATAGAGGAGTCAAATTAGGTTTGTCACGGTGACATTTCGGGCAAATAGAGAACCGCTATGAAGGCGATACTTTATGAGCAAAATTAATATGGCTGGTATGCTCTGTGAAAAATTTTAAATGTAATTTCTCAGCAATTTTCACTTATTGCTTTGGTAGTAGAACTCCAACCATGATGAATATAAGACCAGGCTTCCTTTGATGATACACTCAACTCAAAAACTGCCCATTTAGCTATAAATCCTGAATTTAAAAAACGGGGGAACAAAACCCATATCTCTCCTCAAAAAAAAAAAAGTAACAGTGAGGCGGTCAATGGCATAAGTGGTGTAAACAGGTCCGGAACCTTTAATAATTTTCCCACCTCTCTCCATGCTATTAAAGTATCACACAAAAGCACGTTATTTTTGATATGTGTAAGATGAAAACGGAGATAGAAGTTCAACTAAAGGAAAGGAGTGGGTGTAAGAGTCAAAGAGCAGAGACTAGTTCTAAAACTGTTGAATAGTAATTTAGAAAATCAAGGTCCACCTTTAGTCCGTTAGCTTGTGTAAAATAAAATCATTTGAAGTTTAAAAATGTTCCTTTCCTGAGTATTTTAAAAAGTTCCCTTTAAAAAACCCAAAACATT